CTCTACATTTTCAGTGATTGAACATTCAAGTGTGTTTGTTCAACTCTCCAGTTTGTGTAGTATGTTTTTATATATAATTTTTGGACAGGAGGTTGCTCAGTTAGTAAAGAGAACACAGGGTCATGTTTGATCACCAGAACACCTCTTAAGAGAAGGGGGCTGGGGACAGTTCCGGAGTTGAGAGCGCTGGCTGCTCTTCTGTAGTTTGAATCCCACCTGAGAGCTCACAGCTGTCTAGCTCCAGTTCTGATGGTGATGTTCTCTGCAGGGACTGCATGCATGTGACACAAAAACATACATATATGTAAAAAAACACCACACACATATTTTTAAAGCAGGAATGCTGGGCACAGAGGAATATACCTTTAATCTTAACATTCAGGATTAAGGTCAGCCTGGTCTACAAACTGAATTGCGAGACCATCTAACGCTGCATAACAGGACCCTGCCTCAAAACAAAATGACAAAACTGGGGCTCTGGCTGCTCTTCCAGGTGACTTAAGTTCCCAGCTCCAGGAATCCAACTCTTCTGGCCTCTGTGGGCACTGCACACACACACATGGTGGACACAGAACCCTGACAAAGCATCAATACATATAAATGTAGGAGTTACATTCTTTTTACTAAACCCAGTGTTCAGAGAACACTACTAAACCAAGAGCCCAATCTTTGGCTGGCACCCTTTGCAGCCCAGATCAAAGCAGTGGAAGTAACAATTATCCTTGGTTCAGGTGCCTTCACAGCCTTCCTGCTTGCCCATCTTTCAGCATCTGATAGAGATCTAAAAAATCTGAACCTACTCTCCTCGACTTCATAATACCTTAGATTTTTCTGTGGCCTCGTAATAAAGGCTGGCTTTCCATTCACTATGTAGCTGAAGCTGGCCTTTGACTCGGAATCCTTGCTCCAATTCCTGAAGTGCTGGACAAGTTGTTTTTTTCTCATCACATTTGCTTGGAAATGCTCATGAAGGGCTGGAGATGTCACAGCAGTTTAGAGAACTTGTTCTTACAGAGAACCTGATGTCTGGCAACCACATGGAAGTTCACAACTGTAACTCTAGTTCCAAGGCCTCCCTCAGGCCTGTGTGATAAACCTGCTACATGTACATACATGGGGGAGAAACACCCATACACATAAAACTTAAAAACAAACTTGGCCAGGTGGTGGTGGCACATGCCTTTAATCCCAGTACTTGGGAGGCAGAGGCAGGAGGATTTCCTAATTTAACGGCCAGTCTGGGTTACAGATCCAGTTCCATCCTAACAGCCTGGAGTATAGAAAGAAACCCTGTCATGAAAGACAAAGCAGGAAACGTTAATGCTCAAGAATCTTTTACGTTTGCTTGCTACATGGAGTCTACACAGGATGGACAATGGCCAGGCTTGGGGTCGGCCTGATTGGTACAGTACTGCCCAGTTTGCAAACTCCAGGTTTTATCCTCAGCACTACCTATACCAAAGTGTGATGGCACACACCTGTACTCCCAGCACCTTGGAGGCAGGAAGTTCAAAGTCATTCTTAGCTGAATTCTCAGGTTAGCCCAAGTAACATGAGACCAAACCTCACACCAAAACTGAGCAAAATTAAACATTATATTACTTCAGCCTAATGGACTGTTTGGGGGGGCTACCTTAAAGGAGGTGCAGGCTCTCGGGGCTAGGAATGGATGTCCTCAAGAGTTTTGTTTTGGCTTTTGAGACAGGGCTTCTGTGTAGACCAGGCTGGCCTCAAACTACCTGACTCAACCGCCCAGGTGCCATTGGGTCAAAGGCATATACCACCACCACCCAGCCTCAGTTTGGATTTTTAAAGATTCACCATTAAAAAAAAAAAAAAAAAAAGTGTGCACACCACGTTTGCTGGTGTTTGTGGATGTCAGGGGTCAGATCTGCTGGAACTGCAATTACAGGCAACAGTGGGTGTTCTTAATCACTGGGCCATTTTTCCAACTGGTATGGGAAGTCCTGTGTATGTGCTGCTTTTATTGGTTAATGAATAAAGAAGCTGGGGCTGGAGAGATGTCTCAGAGGTTAAGAGCAGTGTCTGCCCTTCCAGAGGTCCTGAGTTCAAGACCCAGCAACCACATGGTGGGTCACAACCATCTATGAGATCTGGTGCCCTCTTCTGACCTGCAGGTGTACATGCGGACATGCAGACAAAACACTGTATACATAATAAAATCTTAAAAAAAAAAAAATCTGCCTTGGCCTGTGATGGGGTAGAGCAGAGCCTAGGCAGGGAAAACTAAACAATGCTGGGAGATAGAGGGCAGAGTGAGAAGATGACACGTAGGGGCCAGAGGGAAAGACATGAGCTTGTGGTAGGCCACAAGCATCGCAGTAAAATGTAAAATAACGGGAATGGGTTAATTTTACATCTACGAGCACACAAATCTATTTCAAGAGGATGATGGGCATCAAGGATGCTCCTTATGGAGTTGGTTAGCCATTTGGGCAAGAAACTGCTCGTCTGGACTGCTTGATAAAGTAGACGTGCAGGACCCATAGACAAATGACTGCTATAGGTGCCTGAAGGTGAGGCAGTCCTTCAGAAGAAAGAGACCGACAAACTGCCAATATAGGTGGAACTGTGCCACACCAACTCCAGTGTCGTCTGTGTGACATGACATATGTCATTATGCCGGAAGGGAGCTACGTGTCCCATGGGACTAGGCTTCCTGGAGGTCAATGGCAGACAGCCTGGTATTAGCCACAGCTGAGACATAGGCGGGTTTCTCGATTAGCTGGCTATGCGGGATATGAGCTTTGCACAATCTCTTTTATAATAATGATATTCTATATATATACAAGACAAGGATCATTCTCTTCAGAAACAGCTCTGGGATAAGCAAGCACAGTATGGGAATGTATAAGACTACAGCAGAACCTTTGTCATACACAGGGTGTATGATGAGCAAGGGAATAGATGGGTTAATGTTGATGGACAAAGACTGTTATATACTTTCAACTTTATGGATAGGCTTGCTAGATCCCAACCCCCATGATGTCTGCTGCGTAAGAAGGTACTAAAAAGTATAGTTCAACAGGTGCAGAGAACTGATTAGGTATATTTGGTCACTAGATGAAATAAAGGGTTAGGAGGAGGAAGGGCCATGATAGCGATAACGAGACAGAAACTTCCTATTCATAAGATGAAGACTTGCCTGAGGTTTACAGTCCCAAGGACAAGATTTCCTCTTCTAAGGATGCTTTATGTCTAACACCTGTTCCTGATAATGTACTTTTCTTAAACATTGCTGATGTGACTAAAAGAAGCTTTCATACTGTGCCAACTAATGATACATGACCTTCTGATTTGTTCTTTGTTTGAATACTATATAATGAAAACATGAATTCAGTAAAATTCCAACAGATTCCAACCACTCTCTTGTGTGTTGTGTCTGTCTGTCATTCGCCGAACTTGTGCCTTCCTGTTACCAAGACCCTGCTTCTCCCACGGTCTGAGTGGCTCCCCTGAGCCAGTCTGTGGCAGAACTGTCTTTGAAATTTCCTGCTTCGTGGAAAAATCTGCCAGATACTATGGGCCTATAGGCTTGCAACATTACAGAAGAAATTTGGGAGACTGTCCTGGAGTTTGGGAAGTTGCTTACAATGTGCATTTTTACTTAGGTAATATTATATCCTTCTGGAGTCTTTTTTTTACCCTCTGAGACAGGGTTTCTCTGTGGTTTTGGAGCCAGCCTGTCCTGGAACTAGCTCTTGAGATCCGCCTGCCTCTGCCTCCCAAGTGCTGGGATTAAAGGCGTGTGCCACCACCGCCCGGCCCTTCTGGAGTCTTTAATGGAGTTGAATAGTTACTTTTCCTTAGTTATGATAAAAGATAAAATTCTGTGTGATTATTTCTGGAGTCTGGGTGGCTGGGAAACAAACAAGCAGCCTCCTGCTACATCCAACCCTGTCTCCATTGTTTAGATCAAGTCCAGGAGTCAAGTAAGCATTAACACCTGCATTACCCAAGTGCTATAAACTGTCACAAGGCTTTGACTTTCTTGACTTGGGCCTTAAGTGCCTGGAAACCGTATGATGGATATAGATAGTGATCAATCATCTGAAAAACCATACCTTATGGAAACAGAATTCACAAAATCATTAACTGCTGGCATGTCCTGGTGATAAAACTAAAATCTGGCTATGTGCATGCTTAAAATCCTAACAATTTGGCTGAGGCAGGATGGGACCTTTGTGTTAGCTGGTCTGTGGGACTAGGCTAGGCCTCATCATCCATTAAATAATAACTGGAGTACACTGCATGCCACTTCAGAAAAAGTGACCTGTGGGGACTGTTTTCTAAATGGAAATTCTTTAAACACTAACACTACAAAAGGTATGTTTTCTCAGGATATTTACAAACGCGCCATGCTACCCATGCAAACACTCAACACTGCTTACTGCAGCACCTAAATGACGCCAAAACTGGATCCACTTTGTGAGTTGTTCTTAGGAACTCAGGCATTCGACAATGTTAAAGGAGACCAAAGTATCAACACACTACCACATACACTGTCTCTGAACAAACTATGCACATGCTGTAAATGTTTCTGCTAAGGCCAACACTAACAGGGGATTCAATCGCTCTGCTCTTGCCAGTAGTTTTTTCGGTGAGAAAGTGTAATTTACCTTTAGACCAAAGAGGATTATTGACATACTGAACCTATCTGGTTGTACAACTCAAAATTACACAATAGAAAATGATCCATAGCTACACCTGTGTTAAATATGATTGTTATACTTTAATGATAAACTTAAACATAAATACTATGTTGCTAACTGGTTTCAAAGACAGGACATGTAATCTATGACCTGGCTGTTCAACACCACATTACAAGCAGTTTCCCTGTGCCAAATACAGATCATTGGGAAACAAATGATTTACGGAAGATAAAATGGGAACTATTTTCACATTCAGACAAACAATAATGTCAAGTATGTTTGGACTAGAGATTTTATTTTAGAAGTATAAAGGATGGAGGCGTAATATATTTGGCATTTTTAATTTAGGTTTGTTTTATTTAAGTTTAATGTTAATTCCATGCTGTGTTTCAGTAAGAACAATACAGATGCTGCATCTGTGGCTCCAGTCAGACATCCAGTAGTACAAATTAGCTTCAAGTTACACATACTGAACAAAAGAGGTTGAGCGAGCGGAAGAGGAGGAAGAGAGAAGGAGGCTAAGGAGCGAGGGGAAAGGAAGAGAGTTGAACTCGCATGCAGGCTTCCATACCACTTTCAATGCTAACCTGCTTCAGAGGGGGAGGAGTCGGCAAGAATGAGCAGCCACGGATTGTTGAACTGTTTCCAGCACCATGCCTTTCAGCAACACTTCAGCAGAGTTCCAAACACATTTGACAGCAAAACCATTATAACAAACTCCCCCAAAACATCTCAAGCTAATATCCAATTAAGTTTAAACATTGGTATAAAATTCAATTTAAACAATTAAAAAAGGAAAAATGACAGCACATATTCCTCTATCATGTGATTAATCTTTCTTAGATGCATCACCTAGAAGTCTAATGGCTTTCAAATGTCGTTTCCATTTCTATTGATGATCTTGCCCGTGTGGCTGGAGACAATACAGTAATGCTGAAAAAGCCTCTATGCAGTCCTGTTAGTGTCGTAAAGAACCTAAAAGCTGGGACCAGTAAAATCCACAGAAATTCACTCTTGCCTTTAAGAACTTCTGAAAACTGTTTGTTTGTTTTAAAAAAAAAAGGGGAGGGGAGAAAAAAAAGAGGAAGAAAGAAAAACAACAGGGCAGGAACCTAAATTCTGAGACCAAATGTGAAAGTCAAATTTGGTGGTTCTCAGTGACAATGGGGAACTTCCAAGGGGAGGGTGGGGAGGGAGGGTGATCAGAGATGTGTTCTCTTGTTGGCTTTAGTACGTCTCACTGATTTTCATCTTCCACATCCTGCAGCGCTTCTTTATTCTGCTCTTCACCTGTAAGGAACAAGGCACAATTACTTCACACTGTCACACACTCTAATGGTCAGCTAAAGGTTCGTAGTTTCACTACAACTGTTAGCAAACTTGGGCAGGCAGAGATCTTCTAACCTCACATCTGAGGGGCTTAAACCAAGAGCTACCAACCACCAACCAGTCCTGAAACAGTCAAGTGTTAGAGGGTGATAAAATTAAAACTTTTAAAGGCAAAGAAATCAAATGTCTGTTAAACAAGCTCTTCAAGAATACACAGTAGAAAGAATACTCTTAAAATGAACTTCAGGCCTTTGTGTGTTTCTTGGGCCAAATACTCTTTTCTTTCTCAATAACCTTGCCTCTTCAAAAAGCAACAGCATTTTGTTTATCTGGGGAGGCGGGGAGCAAGAGGAGGGGCCATCTACCCACAAGCTATCCTTCTAGGGAATAAAAGAGATCACGACCACAGTGGTTCTATGGTGTCTGGGAAGATGTGCTACTGTGCTGGGCTATTTCTCTGTATGGTGGCCAGATAGGCCGCACAGTGGAGTCTTTTCTTCAGAGTAAACCACTCGGTCACTGAGGTTATTACAGAAGGGCATTTGGGCCAGCTCTCAGGCTATTTCTCTTTACTCTTTGGACATGACAATTAGCCTGCCAAGTTTCAACTGCACTATGGCATGCAAGAGAAAGTCAAGTTTATTCACTGGAGGGTCACCTACCTACTTATAAGCATTAATCAAGTCAGCCATAGTTAAGGAAACATGCAAAGCTTTTGTTAAAAAATGATTCAACTGATAAAAATTATATTTTGTTGTATATTTTAATATGGAGAATTATAAGTCTGAGCAAAAAAAAAAATAACCGCTCAATTAACCAGAAGGTAGGGTGTATAGCATGTACTTAGCATGCATAAGGCTCTACATCCAATCCCTAGCAACACATAAAAATAAGAATACATAACCCACAGTTAACTGCTACTAAACCAACTTTTAAAGTGCTACCAAACCATTAAAAAAAAAAAAGCACCTAACAATAGAAATGGCTTAGATAGCATTTATACTAAGATCAACTTTTAAAACAGTCTGATGCACCACCACAGCAGTAAGCATCAAGTAAAGAGCTACAAACATTCTTGTAAGGAAATCTGACATTGACATGTGATTAACAAGTCAGGTCTTTATCACAGCACAAAGGTTCAAGGCCTTGAGACACTGTCTCAAAAATAGAAGTTACTTAAAGCACATGGAGGATTTAACTTATAAGACAGAAAAGACAGGTGGGCAGTGGTGGCGCACATCTTTAATCCGAGCACTCAGGAGGCAGAGGCCAGCCTGGTCTATAGAGGTAGTTTCAGGACAGGCTCCAAAGCTACAGAGAAACCCTGTCTTGAAAAATCAAAGATAGAAAAGACATGCAAAAACAAACATATCCATCTCCTAGGAAAGAATGGAGGGAAGCTAACTCTCCAGAGCAGTACATCCAAGCTCAGGAGCTTGCATGTTTTGTCTCATTTGCAACAGGAACAAGTGGCAAGTATGCTAAGAGACCACAGGAACACACACAAGCAACTTGCAGACATGGCAAAAGTTTCAGCCACAAGTCATGAAAGTCACTGCATATAAGGCACACCCAAGTAGACAAGGCAGGTAGCAGGCCACGGCTGTCTCCAGACTTAGCACCTGAGAACATAATCGGGTGAGTCTCTAAGGACAGGTGGAAACAGGCAAGCATCATCAGTGAGAACCAAACTAAAAGCAGAGCTCCCTGCACCACAGCAATGACTTACAAAGTAGTTTTAAAGGAAGAAGAGTTGGGTTTTCCTTTAGGAATCTACAGTCAAGAAGAGAGGGAGGGAGAGCAATCAGATGAAAGCACATTACAGAAAAACAAACCACAACAGGACAAAGGAAACATCCCAGGAGTCAGCTCTGGTCTTTCTACATGAATAAACTCAAGAATTAACCTGTCCAGTTGTTCCCTTTACTCCTAAGAAACTTCTGGAGGCTTATAAATTGGGGAAGGGCCCACAGGTTTTTTTTTTGCCTAGAGGGAGCAAGCAGAGCAAACACATTTCCTCTATGAAACAGTCATTCTTGCAGTGACCTCACTAAAGAATCGGTGTGCTTCATAATGTACTGCAGCATGCACACACACACACACACACACACATTTTTAAAGGAATTATCTCACTGGGCTGATGAGACAGCTCAGCAGTTACCACCGGCTGTTCTTGCAGGACACGGGCTCAGTTCTCAGCACCCATGTGGTGGCTCACAGCCATGTGTAACTCAAGTTCCCAGTGATCTGACACCCACTTTTGGCCTCTGCAGGTACCAGGCAGGCAAGTAAGCATGAAGTACACACACATACACACAGGCAAAACACTCATAAAATAAAACAAAAAAATTATATCCCAATAAATTAGACCAGTCATTAGCATACGCTACAGGAAAGACACAAAAGAAGTAAAACATACACATCATTAGATGTCTTCAATTCAAACATTTAATGACGCTAATTTTCATGAACAGCAGTAAAATAAAAGGGCCCTAACTTTAGCCAGCTTTAATCCCAGCACTTGAGGGGGAGGCAAAGGTAGGTGGATCTCTGAGTTCCAGGCCAGCCAAGGAAACCCTGCCTTGAAATAAAAATTCAACAAAAAGTGCTTGAACTTAAATTGAATGCTAGAAAACTGCTAATCCCTCAACAGAAGTATTTCCACATGTACACCCTCAGAACAACTGAAGAATTGTCTGTAAAATTGTAAACATGAGCTGAATGCACGCCTTTAATCCCAACACTCGGGAGGCAGGGGCAGGTGAATCTCTCTGAGTTTGTGACCAGCCTGATCTACAAGAGCTAGTTCAAGGACAGGCTCCAAAGCTAGAGGAAACCCCCTGTCTCAAAAAAAAAAAAAAAAAAAAAAAAAAGGTAAAAGTGCTTGCTATACAAGCATAAAAAGACCACATAATGTGGCAGGTGTATGGTGTATACTTTGAATCTCAGTGCTGAAGTGGAGAGAGAGAAATGAGTCTCTGCAGATGTTGGGGAGCCACCCTAGACAATTGACACACACACGGTGGATGGCACCCCTGGCCTCCATTCATAAGAATTAATAATTTATAGGACCTAGTAAAATGGCCCAGATTAAGATGACATATTGTTGTGCAAGCCTGACAATGGGATAATCCTCAGAACCTAAGTAAAGGTGGAAAGAGCTAGGTGTGGTGGCACACACACGGGCAGGTTGATCTGAGATCAAATCAAGGCCAGCCTGGTCTACCAGGAACACAGAGAAACCAGGAACACACCGCACCCACCACCCCAGAAGTTGGAAAGAAACTCCACAAAATTATCTTCAGACTTCCATGTGTATGTACTCCATGCACATGCATGCACGCACACACAAAAATGAAGTTTAAGTAAATTGAATTTAAATCTGTATAAATTATATTTCATTCATTTAATGGGCGGAGGGAAGAGCAGGGTTTTACTATGTAATCCTCACTGGCCTGGAATTCACTAGCAGACCAAGATGGCCTCCAAATCAAAGATCTGCCCACCTCTGACTCTTGAGTGCTGGGATTAAAGGCAAGTGGCTACATTACTTTTATTGATGTTGGTTTATCATGATAAAGAGCTACAGCAGAATTGTAAAATACAAACTTGGCAAACTTCGCAACTTATTGTATGTAATGATGTAGCTCAGGTAGGCCTCGAATTTATTACATATAGGAAAGTTCTCTACCAACTAAAGATCTTAAAAGGCATTTTAAAGATTGGCAAGATGACTCAGTGGGTATGAGTTCAACAGGGAGGGGTTGGAGAGATGGCTCAGTGGTTAAGAGCCATCTGCTCTTCCAGAGGTCCTGAGTTCAATTCCCAGCAACCACATGGTGGCTCATAACCATCTATAATGAGATATGGCGCCCTCTTCTGGCCTGCAGGCACACATGCAGACAGAACACTGTATACATAATAAATCTTGTTAAAGCATCTAACCCCATTCTAAATACCAATATCCACATGAAAGCTGGGCACAGCTGCAATTGCTATAATATGGAGCTCAATGATCAGCCAGGCTAACCACAACGGTGAGCTTTGGATTCAATCAGACCTTCCTTGTCTCAATCAGTAAGGTAGAAAGGGATTTAAGACATCCCACATCATGCGATGCCTCCACATGTGCCTAAATACCAATACTAACATGGGTGCACATAGTCCCACACACGCATAACTAGTATATATAGCCCTTTTTTTTTTTTGTCTTTTGTGTTTGAGACCAGCCCTGACTGTCCTAGCTAGACTTGCTCTGGAGACCAGGCTGCCCTTGAAATTAGAGATCCACCTACGCTCCCAGTGCACCACCACTCTGATGGCTCTATCAAGATGGTAGGAAAAGTGTAGGAAGTTCCTATCATGTATCTCATTACAACACTTGTCTTGTAATACATAAATACTTGATGACTTAGTGAGCTTTTAAAAGCCGAACTAAGCAAGTTCTCATATTAGCACCACAAGCTAAAGTCAAAAATCAAACTCAACTTTGCCAGAGAAAGGAAATGGGTAACATTCATAACCCATGTATTTCCAAGGGCAATACAAAGCATGTCAACCAACCAGAAACTGTTAGTTAGAAGTAAGCTATTAAATATAAGCTTCTATCTGAGTAACACACTTAACATGACTGTGATTAAAACAGAAAAACTAGATGGGTGGTGGTGCTTTTAATCCTAGCAACTGAGAGGCAGAGGCAGGGGATCTCTGTGAGTTGGAGGACAGCTGGTCTACAAAGCGAATTCCAATAGCCAGGATTACACAGAGGAACCTTGTCTCGAAAAACCAAAGAAACAAAAGCAAAATTACAGATAAACTCTGAGATGGGAGATAATTCAGTGGTTGGGGGAGTGCTTGTTGCTCTTGGAGAAGATTCTATCCCCATTATTAATTTAGCACTGGATATGCATGAGAAGTTTACACATGCACCCTAACAAAACACTTCTCATTAAAAAAAAAAGAAAAAAAAAAAAAGCAATCTTAGGGCTGGAAAAATGACCACTCACTGATTGCTCTTCCAGAGGTCCCAAGTTTGGTTCCCAGCACCCCCATGATTGCTCACACCTGTCTGACCACTTCTGGCCACTGAAGGAACCAGGCACACATGTGCAGCAAAACACCCATACACATAAAACAACTGTTTAATAATGAATAAATCTGATTTTACCTAACACTTTTGTGTCCAATCCCCTACACTAACTTTATAAAATTACCTCATAATATTCAGTAGTTTTCTCATCAACCCCAGATAAAACTCATCTTTGTCTAGACACTGATGGCCCAGGCCTTTAATCCCAGCACTTGGGAGGCAGAAGCAGGCGGTTCTCTATGAGTTTGAGGCCAGCCTGGTCTACATAGCTAGTCCTAGGACATCCATGGCTACACAAAAGAAACCCTGTCTCAAAAAATTACAATACAAAAAAAAAAAAAAAATCTTTGGAGAATGAAGTACAGCTAAGTGTTAGAACATGTGTTTAATTAACATGCATAAGGGTCTGGAGTCTACCTACATGCATAGGCACACACACCTTATCAACAAATAAAACTTCAACTATTATATTTGAAGTTAAAATTTACATATGAATTCCCCCAAACAGCAATTACTTCCCCCAAAATAGTAACTTTGCAAATGAAAACCCAAAACCAGACAATACCAGGACTCTTAAGCATGGACCTAGGGACAGATCATTTTATTTCTCATAGAACCCTAGAGGAAAATAGTTACTTTTTAGTGAAAAAGATTTCTATGCAGAGACTATGGTATGGCCAGAGGTAAAGTATGTAGCTGGTTCACACAGACCTGAGGTTTGAAGAAAAACTCATGCAGGGTTGTTTCATTAATACCTACTAATGCCACAGAGTTTTATAAACTCCTACCGCCCACTCTCAACTGAATTGCAAGAAGATAAAAGGAAATGATGGGGGCTAGATGTCTCAGTGGCTAAGAGAACTAACTACCCGCTCTTCCAAAGGACCCAGGTTCAATTCCCAGCACCCACATGGAGGCTTACAAACATGTGTTACTCCTATTCTAGGAGATTCACCATTGCCTATGGCCTCTGACATTCATGTGGTAACAGACATGTAGGCAAAACGTTCAAACACATAATATTAAACAATATAGGTTTAAAAAATAGAAAGGAAATGGCTTCTAGTCATTTCTTCCTTATACTGATTATAGCATACTAACAAGTCATTATTAGAGACAAAACTTTTACAATTTTGAATATTGGCATAATATTTCTACACATGTATGAAATTGTCGAATCGGCCCTTTACTTCTTTATCAAGGGTCAAAATGGCACTTGGGCATCATTCCCTATACAAAGAATAAACCTTAATTACTGCAGACAGGCTATGAGAACCAAAAGAGTTCTTAGAAGAGGCAACCACCCAAAGAGAAACATCTGGGCTTGCTCACCATCGCCCTGCATGTCTGAGGTCCAAAGCGTCAGGTTATCACGTAGCAGCTGCATGATAAGCGTAGAGTCCTTATAGCTTTCTTCACTCAGAGTGTCCAGTTCTGCAATAGCGTCATCAAAAGCTGCTTTTGCCAACCTGAAATGAATATACCATCCGTCAGTACTCAATTAACAATAAAGATAGCAACAATGGGCTACTCTGTTACTCTAGCAGTCCCACTAATTATAAAGGTAACACAAATGTTGAACTATAACTTCGAATAAAAATATGAAACACTTGGTATTTTTGTTCAGCTTACTTTTAACTTAATAAAAAACTTTTTAAAAAATGTGTACCTAGAATTTGGTATGAATGTAACTGAAGATCAGATGACAAACCTGTCACAGCTGCCTCTCTCCCTCCACATAGATCCCAAGGACCAAACTCAGGCTAATCAGGCTTGATAACAAGCATCCCTACCTTCGCAAGCATCTCAAGAGATGTTCGTGCTGCTTTTGAATGTCTTCCTATACAAACCAAGCCTAGCCTTGGAAATCTCAATCCTAGTCAAGAGTGTTAACAAACAATGGAGGCAAGATCTAGTCCCATGCCACCTGAGATGACACAGTAAGACTGTAGTTCAAAGCAATTACAAAAATGGCCTCAGCCTTTCAGGCGATATGATTACAAGCCTACACCACCTTACCCAACTAAGGAATTAATTCTTTAAAAAAAAAAAAAAAAAAAAAGAGGGGGGTCGCTAGAGGGATGACTCAGAGGTTGAGAGCACTGGCTGCTCTTCCAGAGGTCCTGAGTTCGATTCCCAGCAATCACATGGTGGCTCACAACCATCTGTAATGAGATCTGGTGCCCTCTTCTGGTGTGCATGTGTACATGCCGACAGAATACCATATACATAACAAATAAATAAATCTTAAAAAAAAAAAAAGATACCTCTCCTGCCCACGAGGAGTTGCTTTTTGTTTGTTTCTTTTTTCTTTGGATTTTTCAAGACAGGGTTTCTCTGTATTGCCCTGTCTGTCCTTGAACTCAACTGTTCTGTAGACCAGGCTGGCCTCAAACTCACAGGAGACACACCTGCCTCTGCCTCCCCAGTGCTGGGATTAAAGGTCATTACCACCCAGCCAAGATTTACTGTTTTTTTTTTTTAAGTTTTATTTTATGTGTATAAGTGCTCTACCGACTTTAGGCCAGAAGAGGGCATCAGATGGTTGTGAGTCACCATATGGTTTCTGGGAACTGAACTCAGGACCTCAGGAAGAGCAGCCAATGCTCTAAACCACTGAGCCACCTCTCTAGCTGCAAGATTTATTATTTTTGACTATATGTAGTTGTATTTAAATGTTCAAGAGTACAGGTATCAGATGAGGCTTGAAGACATCAGATAGATCCCCTGGAGCTGGGGTCATAAGCACTTGTGATCTCTTCATGTGGGTACTGGAAATAAACTCAGGTACCCTAGAAATACATAGGGAGCCATCCCTCTAGCCCCAAGGCACTAACTATTAATACAATTGTTTTTTCCCCTTGGGCGGGGGGGGGGTTTGAGACAGGGTTTTTCTGTGGCTTTGGAGCCTGTCCTGGAACTAGCCCTTGTAGACCAGACTGGCCTTGAACTCATAGAAATCCACCTGCCTCTGCCTCCAGAGTGCTGGGATTAAGGGTGTGCGATGACCTCCCGGCTTCTTGATACAATCTGTATGAACTATTACAAACAGACTAGACTGTGAAAATAATCCATGGAGTCTACCCTAAAACTCCACCAAAATACATATGTGATAAAGATATTTTCCTGCCAGGCAATGGTAGTACACGCCTTTAATCCCAGAGGCAGTAGGATCTCTTTTGAGTTTGAAGCCACCTTGGTCTGTACAGAGTTCCAAGGACAGCCAGGGTACACAGAGAAACCCTGCCTGAAAAACCCAAAAAGGTTCAAATATCTTTGAATAAGACAAATGTAGTAAATACCTACAATGGATACAATTAAGAATACCCTACCCCCACCCAAAGGAAAAGAAGATTGTTTTGTTCAGTGTCTCAAGTAACCCTGGCTGGCTTTGGATGTCTAGCTGTCCAGCTTCCTCTTCTAGAGTGCTGGAATCACAGGGATGCATCTCCACACCCTGCTTTTGAAAGAGGGGCAAAGAGACAGGATTTCACACTATAACCCAGGCTGGCTTCAACTTGCACTCATCCTCCTGCCTCAGTTTCCTTATAGGCATAAGTCACTGCCTCTGGATAAAAGTTCTATCTGTAGGCATTGTTACCAAGAAATTAATACAGCAAACAAAAAAGGATAGAAATAATTCTACTTATATAAGACGCCAAGAACAAGCAAACTCGGGTTAGAAGAGACTGGGGAATGGTGTTACTACTTTAAGCTTAGTTTGGGTGAAGTGATAAAAATATTTTGAAATGGTCAGTACTGGTGGTTATAAAAAAATTGTGAGCATATTAAATTCTACTCAATTATATACATGAAAATGATTACATTGAATTCTTTGAAGTATACATGCTTACCAGCATGTATACTTCACTTTATTTGCATCCATGATTTCAAAACTAGAAACAAATTGATATAAAAATCGGAGAAAAGGAGGCTGGAGAGATGGCTCAGTGGCTAAGTGCATTTACTGCCTTCCAGAGGATCCAAGTTCAATTTCCAGTACCCACAATTGTGCCCACCATAGTAGAAAGATAATTAATTCCCAAGTTGTCCTCTGACCTTTATCTGCCATGTTATAGACACATGTATACGCATACACACCAAAAAGTGCAGAAATTTTAGTGTGACAGCTTCACAAATACCAATGATATTATAATTGTTAAAATTATAATTTAAAAAATGTTCATGTAAGGAGGTGGTGGCACACGCCTTTAATCCCAGCACTTGGGAGGCAGACGCAAGTGGACCTCTTTGAGTTCTAGGACAGCCTGGTTTACACATAAAAAGTTCCAGGACAGCCAAGGCTATATATAGGAAAACTCTTGTCTCGAAAACCAAAAGCAAAAAAATAGCAAAAAGTTCACCAAGAATATTAAAAGCATTCCCAGAGAAGTGAGGTGGTAAATGTCTATAATCCCTAACAATTGGAAGAATGACACATGAGAACTGAATGTTCAAAGCGAGGCTAAGCCAGATACCTGGTACCAAGACCCCGTTGTAAGACTGAACGAATGATAATGCATAAAAATTAAGTCAACAGACTCCTGTGACAGCCTAAACAGAAGTTAGCTCCTCTGGAACCTTTGCACTTCACACTGGGAACTTGCTTCCTCCATTACTTACCTGCAGGCACGGTCAGGGGAATTAAGAATTTCATAGTAGAATACGGAAAAGTTGAGAGCAAGACCTAAACGAATGGGGTGCGTTGGAGGAAGTTCTGTCATGGCAATGTCACTAGCAGCTTTGTAAGCCACGAGGCTGTTTTCTGCGGCCTCCTTCCTGTCATTTCCTGTGGCAAACTCAGCCAGATACCTGTGGTAGTCCCCTTTCCTACAACACAACAGCAAATAAAATCCCAATTAGAAACTTCTTAGAGCATGACAATTTTCTCTACCACATTGTACACAACAAAATACAGTTTAATGATTAACATATTTTTAGAAACTTTAAAAACAATGTCAGAATCCATCAGCTTGGCTCATCTCTTCTTTCCTTAACAAAGATTTCATATTTAAAATTATTGAGAAACTTTCACAGAAGACAACTAAAGCAAAACACCTAACTAGTATAAAAATGTTTCCAAAGAACCACACATTCATTAATCACAATACACATTTGCTGCTGTCACTGCAGTGCCAGGACACCTGAAGCCCTGAGCACAATGTGCCCCTACTACTCCTGAGCTATGCCCTTGTAATTTCTCCACAGATAGTTAAGATTACACTGTGAACTTCGCAGCTTTAGCGAAAGAGGAATGAAACCACAAAAGCAAAAACCCCAGGCAGGATGTGGTGGCATATAATCTTAGGAAGCTGTTAGAAAAAAAGATTATTTGGGCCAGGCAGTAGTGGCACAGGCCTTTAATCCCCACACTCAGGAGGCAGAGCCAGGAGGATCTGTGTGAGTTCAAGGTCAGCATGGTCTACAGAGTGAGTTCTACCCTTTGCCCAAAAAGAAAGAGAGGAGAAGGAGGAAGGGAGAGAGAAGAGAGGGAGAGAGGGAGGGAGGGAGGAAGATTACTCTTAAAACTGAGGCCAACCTGATGACTGAGTTCCAGACCAGCCAGGGCTGCCCAGACAGACCTTGTTTTCAGAATAAGCTTGGAATGGTGGCACACACCTTAACCCCAGGAGGCGGATGTAGTGAGATCTCTGAATTCTAGGCTAGTATGGTCTACCATCTTGACTTCCAGGCCAGTCAAGTATATAAACAATGGGGTGAGAGTGGCAACGACGACCAAAAGTTAGGTATTTTGTACAATAGTCTGGCAATCTCAAATGCAACAATATATTAATTCTTCATCACTACAGTATTTGTAACTAATTAAACTTTAGGTTTTGGTAACTAACCCAATATTCAACTACTTTAAGTCAAAGCTGAAAATGCACATTTAAAAAATTATGGTTCTAAGGCTAACTTTAAATCTCACATTTTTCCCTTCTAGTATAGAACCTACATTTTATAATAGAAAACCTTGGACTCGCCAGTGTTAGCTGCTGGAATGAGGTGTTTGTCCAGTACATCCAGAATGTCACAACAGATTAATTTGAGCTCAGTTTCAACCTAGGGAGGGAAAACATCAGATTAAGTTTGGCAATTCCAAAGTCTTGTTAGACAAAGTTTAATCTGAAGAGCCCAGTCTTAAACAGAACATCTTATCTGTTTCCAAACTCTTTCCCCAAACCTTAAGTTGGCAGAAAACTACTCAGAGTAGAGAAAGTCTCTTGCTCTTTAAACCATGCACAAACAACCCACAGTTCCCCTAAAGAATCACCAGTGAGTAATCCACATTCTTTCTAAATGTTAGACACTTACATGAATTAATTTCCATTATAAGGTACCAACTATAAAGGTTACTCTTGGTTGTTTACTTGACTACACTTGGAAGCAACTAAAACCAAAGCAGTTGGGCAGGCCTGAGAGGGATTTTTCTTGGTATGATATGAGGTGGGAGACCCACCCTAAATTCAGATCTTGTGAGGGGGCAGCTCACATAAAAGGACAAGGAAGAAGGAAGTGCTTTCTCAGCTCACTCTCATTGGCAAGTTCATCTATCCTGAGCCATTCCCCCCCTAGTGCTAGCACCTACACTAGGGGATTCTGAAAGGGACTGAAAACTAGCAGTTCTAGGACCTCCCAGAGGCTCAAGCACCAGTTTGGGAATGCTAAGACATCCAGTCTTGTGGACTCAATGACTTCTGAATCCTTGGCCATTCTGTCAGGAGACAATATCAGACTACTCAGGTCATAGCCTGCAAATAGCTCTAAGAAGTCATAAATGTTGTATATATACTCATTTATTTATTTGAAAGATATAGCATTTGCCCAAAGGCCATCAACTTAAAAGAAGTTTAAAAAACAATGGGAGAGTGAACTGGAGTATAGGTTAGTGGTATGGTGCCGGCCTAGAATGGACCAATTCCCAGCATCACAACAAGTATGTAAGGAGAAGTAGGTGACAGGATTTGAACCAAAGTCACAACTCAAACCCAGACAGTTTGTCTTCAGTACTACTATGTTCCAACATTTACTTCATTGTAGAGATCAGACCCAGCTACAAGAGCAAAAGAACCTGTAGGCCAAATTAAATGCCGACATGAATCTACTGGTTTGCAATGTCTAAAACACGTGGCATCTCTGAACATATTTCACACGAATACATGTTTCATGTTTGAGGATATAATGAATTTATGACAGTCATGGGAATACCTGATGTTGGTAATTCGCAAGAAGTGAATTTAAGAGACCAGCAAATGTGAGAAGAAACATGGAAGTACTTATTTATAACCTTCCTCAGTTTCTAAAAAGTAGTTAGAGTAAATGATGTTCCCATACCACAGACTTTTTCTGAAAACAAGTAACATTGTTGTGCTTTATATAAACTTTATACGACATGTTAGCCAGTGGAGCAGACTTCTCTACTGAACCATAAACTCCTAACTCTGTATCAAAGGAGCTGTAATAATAAAACTGAGCAGGGCAATGGTGGCGCACACCTTTAATCCCAGCACTCGGGAGGCAGAGACTGGCGGATCTCTGTAAGCTCTAGGCCAGCCTGGCCTACAGGAGCTAGTGCCAGGACAGGCTCCAAAGCTACAGAGAAACCCTGCCTCGAAAAACCAAACCAAACCAAAAAAAATTAAATAAATAAATAAATAAATCAAACAAAACAGCCTTATGCAAACTGCACCAGAGCCTCTCGGGCTGGCTGTGCCTAGAGTTCCTGGTTTCCAGCTTACAGTTCTTCCAGCAATAAGTGAAGAGAGGTGACTGCCGGCCAACCTCTCCCGAACATGTTCATCTCTCTTGCTCTCCGTTTTCTGTAATTCAGACACTTTAAGAATTCTCTCATTTTTCTACTATAATCTTGCCTTTAGTTCAATAAGACTACCTGTACCTCTCTTATGGCTTTTCAAGTTGAGATAGAGATGCTGTTACAGTCTCCTAAATCCTTACTAAATACTAGTCCAAACATCAAACTCAGCTTTAACATCACTGCGTACCTCCATGGTCTTCTCCCTCCTTCACAAAGTAACTATGGTCCACCTTTTTTCCAGTGACTTGATATATCACCATGGTATAAACAAACCAAATCTGCTTCCTCACCTGCCTGTGTTTAAACAGCACTGACTTTCTACTCTACCCTGGACAGTCCATTCCTGGTCTCCTCTTTTTCTAGTTCCTTATTCCTACTAAGATTATCAAGACTTCAGACTCTTGGCTTCCCAATTGGCCAGTTTTCCCCTTGTCTCCTCACCACATCCTATAATCTTAACTATAATTTTTCTCAATTTCTTCATGTCTGAGGAACACCAAATTGTCTGTCAATTCATATTCTTTGATCCGAGATATCTAAGGGCAATGATAATTTCAACTTACCTCAAGATTTCTAGCATGTTCCCTAAGAGAGTTGTATCCCCAGTTTTACTACCTATAAATTGGAATAATAGCTACTTTTCCAGGGTCTTTTTTTTTTACTTACTTCTTAATGTTGCTAGATATTAAACCCAGAGCCTTACACTGGGAGGCTTCCATTTTTGTATATAAATACATTTACAAATAACTTCATAAATTCTTTCCAGAGTGATGAAAGCCCCAATGGTTTCTATTGTTTAAAAAAAAAAACACCCAGAATGAGTCTCCATAAAGACAGTAATTATGTTTCAGCAGTATTTATACCCAATAATTTAGTATACAGAGGCATACAAATATTTATCAAATTGTCCCATATCGGGCTGGCAATATGGTTCAGTTGGTAGGGGTGTTTACCGCCAAGGCTAATGGCTCCGTTCACACTCAGACCTGCACAGTGTAAGAATACCAACTCATGGAAGTTGCTCTCATCTCTACATATGCCCCATGGCACTTCCTGTGTACATACACAATTATGTGGAAAAACTGAAGCTGTTCTATGCATTCACTAAAAGCAGTCAATGAGGTACTTTATACCATAGCAAGAGCAGCAGTTCATTTGTTCTTTACTTGTGTGTGTTATGTTCAAACTTAATACCTATGCTGGACATACAGCTCAGTGATAATGTGTGCAATCCAAGCCTAATCCCTAGCACCCTTCCCTCTCAAGATATTTCTCCCTCTACAGCTTCCAAAACAAATGGTTCTTGGCTTTTATGCCAAAATATTCTCTAACCTGTAATTTCTAATCAAGGTTAGTGAAATACATACACACACACACACATACATACATACATTTAAATGTAGTTTATGTTCGGTGTTGAACCCATATGTCTAACACAAATTACTTAAAGCTGAAGGCCTGAGACTTAGCCAATACTCAAAAGAAACACAGTGAGGTCAGGTGGGGGGGGGGATTAAGTGGAGAGAAAGGGAAGAGGAGAGGGAGTGGGAACTTGGATTGGTATGTATAGCGAAAAAAGATAGTTTGTTTAAAAAGAAAAGATTTTCTTAAAAACCACACATTTCCTTTCTCTACTAGATAAAGAAATCATTTAGGACATTCAGAGAACAGCCACCCCTATTACTTCTGTCACAAATGTTACCATTTGTGACAAATGGACGCTACTCTGGATCCAGCTTCCTGGCTCAAGAATTAAGGTAGTTTTGCTATCAGATATGGACCCTACACTGCCATCCAGAATGCCAAATCAGAGACTCAGGATCCATTTTGATCAAGGACAGAATCCTCTATACCTAAGCAAAAATAAACCTTTTCTCTATGAAAACTAATCACTTCTAACAAATATACAGAAATTAATGGAACCAAACTATAAATTAACTCGGTGTCACCTGCACTTGAGAAACTATCATCTTTTAAAAAAGTGGATGTGTAGTATAATGCCTTTAATCCCAGCATGAAAGGCTGAAGCCAGACTAGTCAACATCATGAGTTCCAGGCCAGCCAGGGCTTTGAAGAGACCCTGTTAAGAGCTTTGGTTGCTCTTGCAGAGAATCCAAGTTCAACTGCCAGCACATGCACTGCAGCTCAAAACCACATCTACAGTACCAGGAGACCCAGTACCAGAGGACCCAACACCCTCTTCTGGCCTTCAAGGGCACCAGGCACACACATGGTACGGAGATAGGCAAGGCAAAGTGCTCATACACATTACTCAAAATAAAAACAAAAGCATAGTATCAAATCAAATAAAAGGTAACAACATCTCACCATTTGCCGGTACTCCCGAATCATCTTTAGTTTATCCTCTCCTCCCTTGTTTTCTTCCTTCTGTTCAATGCTGCTGATTATTCTCCAGGATGCTCTTCTGGCTCCAATCACATTTTTATATGCAACAGATAAAAGGTTTCGTTCTTCAACTGTCAGCTCCACATCCATTCCTGCTACTTTCTTCATTGATTCCACCATTTCTATGCAGGGAATAGTAAAAGGAGACTATAGATTTAATAGGTTTTGTTGACCCATCCCTTTCACCGTTATGTTTTTTCCCACTGCAAAGCTAAGATATAACTGGGGGAGGGTGGCTTGAAATCCGAAGGGGAGGGGGGTGCATGCCTGCAATCATAGCATAGAGACTAATGCAGGAAGACTACCTTAAGTTCAAACTCTACTTTAAGCTACAAGAATATGGAACCAGCCAAAGCTACATAGGAAGACCCTTGTAAATAAAAGGGGCTAGTTCAGCTAGAACCTAAAAGCCCTGTTTAATCTGGAGCAAATATTCTTCCCAATAAAAAGTAGTTAAACAAAAATAACTTCATAGTCACCAAAATAAATGAGTCAAGTCAAGCCAAGCATTAGGGGGTGGGGCACCACACACAAGTCTCAATCTCAGAAGGCCAAGCTATCAAATCAGACATCGGGGGACCTTGTCTAAAGTAAAACAAACTGGCTCATGCCTGTAGCCTGTAATCCTAAAACCAGGAAGCTGAGGCAGGATTCTATGAGTTTGAGGCAGTCTGGTTTTTTTTAAAAAAAAAAAAAAAAAAAAGTGGGAAAGGGGTACACTATGAATCCTTCTGCTGGTATAAGTTTTGGTAATTACTGTTACCACTAGATGGCAATCAAAGAAAGGGGGCCAGACAATCTGAGATATCCCAAGTATAGCGCAAAAAAAGCCTAGCATTTTATGAATAACAAAGGAAAAACTGAAAATGTCATAAATACTAATTATTATAAAGAAAAGGGGGAAGGGTAGTTTTACAAAGGTTTAAATGACACTATTACCAAATAGACCTTAAGATCTACTGATTTCAGGATCCCTAGTGATAAGTCAAGAACCTACATTTTAATAATCATCCTAGGCAGACAGTAACATCCTGAGAGTAATACATTAGCCAAATGTTATCACAATGAATTAAGCTATATTAAGTCAAATGCTGTAATTGTAACCCCTGCAACTAGGAATGCTACATAATTCATAGTTAGAACCTATCTCACAAAAACAAAACAAAATTTAGAGTTTTCCAAATTAGCAACCTGAGTTTCATATTTCAAAATCCACCCCTTTACAGTTAGTTGCTGAAATGACTGATCCCAGCCAGTCAAGCCTTTTACACACTAGGTAAGCACTCAACCATTAAGTCACACCACTCCCCAAGCTGCCAATTAGAATTTTGGTCTGCTAATGATGTTAGACTTCAGTCCCATCTTCTTTCTAGTTGCGTCTTAGTTACTTTGCACTCTTTGGAAGGATAAACTGTGTTGACATACTTTGGTAGGACACCTAATTTTTGATAAATCACTAAATGACCATTATGAATTACTTTTAAGCTCACAACAAATTCAGGCCCTTCATCCTTAAGAATTTCCATATCTTTACACAATATTCAGCATGAACGAGTCCAAGGCCTAACCTCCTCTGAATGTCTACAAGAGTTTCATGAAACCCTCCATGTCAGTTATCCTTAATTACCAATGGAAGCATAACCCTAGCCACAGTCTTCTTCAAAGCTGTACACAAAAGCTGCCTGATTTCCAACTCTGGACTCCCACTAACTCATTAACATAAAAATTTTTCACTCAGCATATCTAGCATTTCATGAAATCTCTGCAGGAAGGACTTCATCAATTCTACGTAAAATTTCTGAAGCAAGGAAAGGATGTCATGTATCTGCAGCTGATGTGATCGAAACCTTTGAACCAGAGAACTACAACTCATGACTGAATTACTACTTGAAGGTAACAAGCCTCCTCCTTCCATCACATGGGTTCTAGGGATCAAACTCAAATTCTGCAGACCATGAACATTTTTTTTTGAGGGGCAGGAGAATAAAGCAAGGTCTTGCTATGTAGCCCAGGCTGGCAATAAACTTGTACAAATCACCTTACATTTGTCTGCTGAGTGCTGAAATTAAAGGAATGCCCCACTCTATTTGATCCTGATTTTTTTTTCTTTTTTTAGTTTTTATGTGTTTTGCCTGCAAGTATGTCTATGAATTACAAGTGTGCTTGGTGTCAAAGGCTAAAAGGCGGCATCAGAAACTGGAGTTGCAGGTGGCTGTGAGCTGTCATAGGATGCTAGGAAGAACAGCCAGCGCTCTTAACCATTGAACCATCCCTCCAGACCCTCTATGAGACTTTTGATAACTTGAGGACAGGGAGTGCTGGCTGAAAATAACTATTGCATGAAGATTCTGAAACATAATTTCCAGACATCAATAGGCATGTTAAATCAAACATACCAGACCTGCTGAGCTCTGGGTCATTTATCATCCACTGTATGCTAACAGTCTAGTTAAATAGCCACACTATGCTGAACAACCATCTGAGACAACTTTATGGTTTTAAGGTTACTGCTAAGATAACCAAATGTAATTCACCTTCACTTAATTTATCCAATCCCATACACACATACCTTTTGTTTGCTGTACTAGGGACAATAGTTATAGCCAAGTAATCTACCACTGAGCTACAAACAATCCCAGTTCTTACTCTGAATCTTGACTCTTTGGTCTCTCATTCACTCATTTATTCACTCACTCATTCATTCATTCAGCTAACTCATCCAACTTAAAGCAGGCACTGTCTATTTTTCATTTTATTTATGTGCATTGATATGAAGGTGTCAAGATTCCCCTAGAACCAGAGTTATAGATAGCTGTAAACTGATATGTGGGTGCTGGGAATTGAATCCAGGTCCTCCAAAAGAGCAGTCAAGTGCTCGTAAATCCTGAGCCCCACACTCGTAAATCCTCCAGCCCCACACTGTTTCTAACGCTCTCCTCCCCATGTAGTACTACAATCAGTCTTCTTAAAAGATCTTCTAGCACCCAAGCCAGGCAGTGCTGGAACGAGTTCCAGGATAGCCAGGACTATAGAGGGAAACTCCTTCAAATAGCAAAAAGAAAAAAAAAGGAAAAAGAGCTGGGCGGTGGAAGGGAGGGAGGGAGGGAGGGAGGGAGGCAGGCAGGCAGGCAGGCAGGCAGGGTGGTGGTGGCACACATCTTTAATCTCAACACTCTGGAGGCATAGGCAGAGGGAGCTCTGAGTTCACAGACCAACCTGGTCTACAGAGCAAGTTCTAGGACAGCAAATGCTACACATAGATAAATCCTGTTTTGAAAAACAAACAAAGAAAAAAAAAACAAATGAACAAAAGGAAAAAAAATATCTTCCAACACCCAGCAGGTTGGATGGTGCTTGTAATCCCAGCACATAAGAGGCTAAATCATAAAAATCCCTTTAGTTTAAAGTCAGTATGGACTACAGTGAAGCCCTGCCCCCCCCCCCCGACCCCCAGGAGTGGGGATGTAGAGGAGCTGGACAAAGCCAAGACAGGCTGATTTCTATAAATTTGAAGCCAGCCTGGTATAGATAGCAAGTTCCAAGCCAGCCAAGGCTACACAGTGAGACCATTTTTACTGTTTTGTGTTTGGGGTTTTGTTGTTGTTTGAGCAGGGCTTCTCTGCGTAGCCATGGCTAGCCTGAAACATGCTCTGTAGACCAGCCTGGCCTTGAACCAGAGATCTGCCTGCCTCTGCCTCCCCTACTGATTAATTCAAGATGTGAATCTTGAGCATGGGGCACATAACAGCAAAATGAACCAAAATTATTGGTTCTCTTGCAAAGAACAATTTCCAACATGTATGCCAGGCAAATCACAACCATCTATAACCTCTAACACCAGCTCTGAGAAGATTCAACACCTCTGCCCTCTCCACAAAAACTGCATTTACACGTACATATCCACACATACACATTTTAAATAAAATTAACTTTTTAAAGACCCTGAGCTAAACCCCAAGCTTAAGAAAGAGACTTGAGGGCTAAAGAAATGGCCCAACAACTAAGAACTAAGAACAGTTGATGCTCTGGTATAGGACCCAAGTACAATTCCCAGTACACACACATATACAGGTAACAACTGCTCCTAACTCCAGTCTCAAGGGATATGGCACCCTCTTTTAGCGTCCAAGGGCACCAGGCACATACAGAGTACACATACATACATGCATGCAAGCAAACATCTATATTAACACACACACTTTTGAGACAGAGTCTTTCTACACAGTCCTGGCTGTCCTGGAACTCATAGATATACCTCCTTCTGCCTCTGCTGGGATCAAATGCATATGCCACCCCATGGCTAGTTAAACTTTTTTTAAAGAAAGAGACCTAAATTGCTTCATTTCATGCCCCTTAAAAGCCTGGTAAACTTATTAATCCTCTCAACTGTAATCTATCTAGATTAACAATCTTTAGCCTTACAAAAAAAAAATACAAAATACCTAAAGGATACAAATATCCATTATCAACTGACAAGTTCCCCCAAGGTCTAATTCTGTATTTCCTAATAAAACTGAAGGTCATGCCAAACTTGACGGCTTTTAGTTTTATTATAAACTATTCTGCTTAAACTTGCTCAAAATCTGCCGTGCCATCACTCTTAAAAAGTTATATTCACATTTCTGGGCATGGTGGTGCACGCCTTTAATCCCAGCACCAGAGAGAAGCAGGTTTGTCTCAAACAAAAGAATGTGTTCTAGAAGAAGTTAGCGGGGCTGGAGAGATGGCTCAGAGGTTAAGAGCACTGTCTGCTCTTCCAGAGGTCCTGAGTTCAATTCCCAGCAACCACATGGTGGTTCACAACCATTTGTAATGACATCTGGCGCCCTCCTCTGGTGTGTGGGCATACATGGAGGCAGAATGTTGTATACATAATAAATAAATAAATCTTAAAAAAAAAAGTTAGTAACTATTAGCTAACTGAAATGTAAGTATAAAGGCAGACACGGGAGAATGACTGCATCAAGCAGCTACAGCGAAGAAAGAACCACTAAAAGGTCTAAAGTTCTAAGATGTGAAAGCAAACAGCTGTTTCTAAAGACAAGTTCCAGAGGCTAAATAAAAAGGTGTGGTGGTACACAGCTGAAATCCTTCCAATCCCAGCAAAGGAGGTTCTAGGAGA